GATTGTTTGTACCTAGACTGATTTCACAGCTTGGGTATTGTGAATAGTGCTGCAATAAAACAGGTTGTGTGCAGGTATCTTTCCCATATATTCATCAACATTCCTTCACATGTATGCCCAAGATACCAGCATAGGGTCTTGAGGTCAATGTAATTTCAGTTTTGTTAAGAACCTCCATATTGATTTACATAGTAATTGTACTATTTTACATTTCCACTAACTGTTTATAAGGGATCCTCACTTGCTCGCTAGCATGTATTTGTTTTCTGGCTAGGCAGTTACTCTACCCTTTGAGCCATGTCCTTGTTTAATTGCCTTTATGGCTTGGGTGAGATGGTATCAGTATCATTTTGACTTGTAGTCCCTTCGTGACTAAGGATATTGAACATTTTATTCATATATTTATTAGCTGTTTGTACTTCTAAGAATTCTCTGTTCAATTCATTAGCTCACTTATTGGATTATTTTTGGTATTATTTGAATTTTTTGTATGTTTGTTAATCATTTACCCACTGAACAGTTTTTGTTTTGTAGTTTATGTCGTGATTCTAATTGTTTCCTTTGATGTGCAAAAGCTTTTAATTTCATGTAATTCCAATTGTCTGTTCTTGCTCTTGTCTCCTCATTTCAATTTTCTACATGGAGATAGATAACCAATTTTCCCAACCCTATTTGTTGAACAGGCTGACTTTTCTCCAGTGTATATTTTTGGCTCCTTTGTCAAAAAATCACATGTGAGTCTGTGGTTTTATTTTTGGACTTTCTGTGTCATTACCCTGCTGTCTTTGTTAGTATGATTTTTTTAATACAACTTAAACTCTAGTATTTGTTGTTTTTTTTCCTTAGGATTACTTTTGCTATTCAGAGTCTTTAATGTTTCTATATGATGAGAATTGTATTGAATTTTTAGATTGCTTTTGAAAGTGTAGACATTTTTACATCACTAATTCTGTCAGTTGGTGATTGTGGGAGGTCTTTCCACGTTCTGGTATTTTTAGTATCCTTTTCCAAGGTTTGTTTAGTTTAATTTGTTTAGGTCTTTTGTGTCCTTTAGGTATTTTTCTCCTTGAGGTTATCATGAATGGAATTATTTTCCTGACCTTTTTCTCAGTGTGGTCTGCTCCTTGTTGATACATGAAATATTACTGATTCTTGTATGTTAATTTTTTATCCTATTATGTTGCCAAAAGATCTAGGAGTTTTGGGAGAATCATTAATGTTGCTTAAGTATAGGATCGTACCATCTGAAAATAGGGATGATATGTCTTCCTTTTTTGCCTTATGACTTTGGCTAGGTGTATTTGTTTTTTTGTAATAGGGTCTCACTAATTTCGCATTCTCCTGCTTCTGTCTACCAAGTAGCTAGAATTACAGGAATATACTACTGCCTGGCCTCTCGTTTCTTTTCTTTTTTTTTTGCCGGTCTGGTGGCTCAAACTCTGGGCTGAGGCACTGTCCGTGGGCTCATCTTTGCTTAAGGCTAGTGAGCCACAGTGCCACTTCCAGCTTTGCTGAGTAGATTATTAGAGTTAAGAGTCTCACCAGACTTTTCTGCCCAAGCTGTCTTCGAGCTGCAATCCTCAGATCTCAGCTTACTGAGTATTACAAGGCTTGAGCCACCAGCACCTGGCCCAGTCTCTCATTCATTTTTGGTTATAGCCATTCTGACTGGGGTGAGATGCAATCTTATTGTTGTTTTAATTTGCATATCCCTTATCTTCTGTACTGTTGACTAAAAAAATAAGAAATTTACAAAGTAACAGTGTATTTGTGTGTAGTACACACGTGTGTGTGAGTGCACCCACAAACATACTGTTTAAGAAGCTAGATAACCAGAGAAATTAGGAAAATAAAAGCCAAAGTAAAAACATTCTGTAACTTTAATTACCTTCCAGTAATAGATCATCTAGTAATATTTTGGGGGGAGAGACTGCTGTAGACAGTATGTCTGCTTTAATCAGATTGACCTGATTATTCATTTTGATTTCTATGCGCAAGCATTTGTCATTTCCTCTGACTTGAATCAAGGCTTTTCTCCATCTGTACCAGTTCTATTACTATTTCTTTTTATTCAGTTCCTCATAAAATCTACTGTTACAAGATCTTTTCAGTCTTTTTGTTCTTTTCTTAGTATTGGAAGTGTTGCTGGATTTTTGTTTGAGAAGTGAACCTTTATATAATGAGTCATACTTTTCATCTGTGTATCTAAGAAGAATTCATCTGACCATGGAAGACAGACTTTCTAGATACATTTTCCATAGTGGAATTTCTTTCTGTGCAGTTAGTGTATCATCTAATCATTTGTTTATAACTGCATGTCCTTTAATTGTGAGCTTAACTGAAGATAATGCTCAGGCTTATTACCTCGCATTAAAAAGGCTAATTTACTGATGTTTTACACTTGACTGGTTCTGAGGTAGTCACATATTATAACAATAAAATTCTCTGGAGCTGTTTAAAATGCAGATTTCCAACCTTCCTTAAGACCTTTTAGATCAGAAACTCTTAAGCTGAGGCTGAGCACTCTGTTTTAGTAAGCCTTTAGGCTGATTTTAATACTCTTGAAGGCAGATCCAACAGTAAAAAAAAAAAAAAGAAAAGAAAAAAAGCCTAAGGGCAGTTATATGACTAATACTTTCTTAAAACCAGGTGGTTTATGTTTTAGTTGGAAGACTTCAAAGTTCAAAGTAGACCACTGCCAGAAGTAATCGGTCTCAAGATATCATTCAACACACTTTCTAAAATTTGTTTATTGTGTGTGTGTGTGTGTGTGTGTGTGTGTGTGTGTGTGTGTGTGTGTGTGTGTGTTGAGGGGAATGTGTACTCCTGTAGCATGAATTTGGGGCCTGGGTGCTGCCTATGAGCTTTGTTGCTCAAAGATAGTGCTCTATCACTTGAGTCACAGCTCCACTTCTTGCTTTTGGGTGGTTAATTGGAGATAAGAAGCCTGCTGGGGCTGGCTTCAAACCACCCTCCTCACATCTCAGCCTCCTGAGTAGCTAGGATTACAGGTGTGAACCACCAGCTCCTGGTGAATATTCTTTTTTTTTTTTCCTTGCAGTTTTGGGGTTTGAACTCAGGGCCTCATGCTTACTAGGCAGATGCTCTACTACTTGAACATGCCTCCAGCTCAACACACTTTTAAAAATTACAGGTAATAGTAGCATATCAGGATAATTTTGAGGATGAACTAAATCTGAAACAAGGTCTTACGAATTTTTAAGGTCGGTGTCAATCTTAGTTGCAAACTGAGATGCTAATGTTTTCCCTGGTTTGGCTCTTATTCATAGTAGTAACTGTAGTTTCTGGAACTTACTTCTAATTTGGGCTGCAGGATGAGTTTAAGAAAAGCTCCATGAGTTTAAGGTAGTCACTGTGATAGTAGGTCTAGGCTATCAGTGCATGATGTTCCTCTGGCTTCCTTAATTTCAGATAAAGGTAGCAAATAATACTACCTGCTACTTTTAAACCTAACAAGATAGTGTAATGTTCTGATTCTATTTTCATTCTTTACAGAAATAAAATCAAAGTACCTGGCATAAATGCCTGGCACATAACAAATACTTTATGACAGCTCTTTGTTATTGTGTATGAAACTCAACCTTTTCTGTATCTTAATTCTCATTCTGCTTATTTTATCTCTTGATTTTGAAGAGATATGCTTAAATTTCAGTATCATATGCCCGATCGTTGGCTGTTATGCCAGATCTTCATGGGCCAGGTCCTTGGATACTACTGTTTGTGCTTTGAGAACCACAATATGAGTGTGAATTAAATACGTATGCTGGTCATTCTGCTTGAGTGTCATATGTTGCCTAATGTGGTTACTACTTTTCAGGCTGTAGCTTCTGTTAACCATTATGTCTTCCAGAACTGTCTCTTCAGAAATAGGTTAACAAGTTGATTTTTAACTAGAGTGTATTTTCAAAGTGAATAGAAGTATGAAATTTCATTTTCTTCCTATAAGAAATGTTCATATTATAGTGAGTCAATTGCTCCTTGCACATGGACAATAAAGATTTAATTCTTGTAATCTAAGTCATAGTGTCATCTGGTTATATTGTTGAGTTCAAAGTATATTTCACACAAAGTATATTTCGCAGTGTGTTTATCATTTGGGTTAGAGTTATTTCTGCCTACAAATAAGGTATAGAATGCTTGAAAATTATAAAAACATGTCTTATTTCATGAATAATGTATTTCTGGGTTCTAAATTTGACACTTCTCTGCCTTTAAGAATGTTTGTGTATATGTATATCTGTGTTGTGTCTAATATGTTCAGATGATTTGGCTTAAATATTCCTTTTCATAACCAGAATATTTCCTGGATACCATTACTTGATTACTTATTAGAGTACTTTCTACAGGAAACTGATTTCATTTTACTGTTTTAGGTTCTTTAACCACAGGGGATTGAGGAATATTATATTAGTATATTATAGGCTTTTTAAAGTTAGAAAGGTTAACTCTGGTTACATTATATGAAATGTGTGTGCCATGGGGTAGGAGAGTGGGGAGGGAGTGGTGCCTGTGTTGGAACCTAGGGCCTTGCATAAGTGCTATACCATTTCAGCTCCAACCCATTGGTTTTGTGGGGAAGAGGGGAGGGTTTTTTGTTTTATAAGAAATTGCTTAATCTTCCTACCTGTGTTTCCTCATCTGTGAAATCAAAATAATATAACCTATCAGTTACATATGGCAAAGATTACATGAAATCATTTTATTTAGAAATAGCCGTAGGACAGAATGTATGGCTAAGTTAATTTTAGACTAGCGTTACTTTTTATTATACTTAAAACATGGACAGAATTGATCAATTTATAGGTTTATTTAAAAATGGAATTTAATATTTCATATAGTTTTAGTTTTGCTTTTATGATTTTGAAAATTCTTCAGTGCTAAAGAATAGTCTTCATAGAATGAGTAATATGTAGATTTGTGAATTACGTAGAAATATGAAATCACTGATGGCAGAAATTCACTTATTTTGGTGTACTTAGGAAGGTGACATGCCAATTCATGAACTTCTCAGCCTTTATGGTTATGATAGTACTGTTCGACTACCTGAAGAAGATGAGGAAGAAGAGGAAGAGGAAGAAGAAGGTGAAGATGATGAAGATGCTGATAATGATGACAACAGTGGCTGTAGTGGGGAAAATAAGGTAAGAGTATACACAGTAGTTCCTCTTTTATTTGTGGACTTCGTATCGTCCAGGACCCTCAAGGGATGACTGAAACTACAGAGTGTACTAAATTCTATAATTTATAAAGTTAAATTCTATAATTTATAAATAAGGTACACTAAGATTAAGTACTAAAATATAACATATTACAGAAATAAGTAACTGGAAATCTTCTGTAAATACTCCTGAGAGGTAACCATTAAGTCTGTGTCATTTTGGCTGTCAGTGCTTTTTTGAATATTATAGAGCAACTTTTAAATAAAGTTAACTGGCAGTCCTATATTTTTACTTTATCTACTTTTTTTTTTTTTTGAGGGTCATGGGGCTTGAACTCTGGGCCTGGGCACTGTCCCTCAGCCCTTCAGCTCAGGGCTAGAGCTCTGCCACTTGAGCCACAGTGCCACTTCCTTTATCTACTTTTATTACTTATTCTGAAGTAATTTTAGATGTAAGGGGATCAATTTACTGTATACAAAGTTGCTGTTGGAGTGTGTGTGTGTGTGTCAGTTATGGAGCTTGAACTCTGGTCCCAGAGTGTTCTACCACCTGAGCAACAGTGCCATTTTTGGTTTTCTGGTGGTTAATTGGAGATAAGAGTCTCATGGGCTTCCCTTGCTGTGGCTGGCTTTGAACCTCAATCCTCAGATCTCAGCTTTCTGAGTAGCTAGGATTACAGGCAGGAGCCACTGGCACCTGTTGCAGTATTTTTAATCCAAACTACTCAACAATACTGGTACTGTTAACTAAACTGTGGATTTTACCACTAAGATCCTTTTTCCTATTCCACATGCCAGCCCAAGCCACCATATTGCACTTAAGTCTTCTGGTTATATTTAGAACAAAATTATCTGTAGCCTTTCTTTTGAAATAGTGTTCTTTACATTTTAAATTAATAATTATTATTACTATTAATAATTCCATAGGAAGAAAATACAAAGGATTCATCAGGTCAGGAGGATGAAACTCAGTCTTCCAATGATGATCCATCACAATCTGTTGCTTCTCAGGATGCTCAGGAAATAATCCGCCCACGCCGATGTAAATATTTTGATACAAGTAAGTATTATCATTGCTTTAGTTAGAATATAATTTTCACTTTTTTGAATAGTACCTACAATTCTCATGTGTTTTTCACTGCTCTGTTAGACTTTGTTTATTCTGAAATCTCTTGCACAAACAAGTAGACTTTGTTACTGGTTATTAGTTTAACAATAATTCAGGCCCCGTTTTCAGTGAATATTTTACAATAATTATGATTTTTATGTACTACCTGACTTTTTGGTGGTGGTTTTTTTGGTTTGTTTTTTTGGTTGGTCGTGGGCTTGAACTCTAGGCCTGGGTGCTGTTCCTGAGCTCTTCAGCTCAAGCCTAGTGCTCTACCACTTGAGCCACAGTGCCACTTTCACCCTTTTCTGTTTATGTGGTGCTGAGGAATCAAACCCAGAGCCTCATGAATGGGAGGCAAGCACTCTACTGCTGAGCTACCTTCCCAGCCCTTGGTGTGGTATTTTTTCTCTTTTTTGGTAGTCCTTCAGCTTCATTTTCTATATATTCCTCTTACCCTTTTTAAGAAAAGATTATTTTTCATGCATGACTTAATAAAAGGATACAGTGTGAGAAACATGTCATAAAACAATTTCTTGGGTATGAAAACTTCATAAAATGTACTTACACAAAGGTGACTACAACATCATCACTACATGGTATAAATCTCAGGAGGACACTACCATATTGCAGTCTCATTGTTCAGTTGTCAGATAGCCCATGATGATATATGTTCATGAGGATTGCTTTCTCTAATCATGGGACACTGTGTTCTAAAAGTGGTTCACTTTAGGTAAGAATACAGGTTTGTATGTTTGACCTGCTGTTCTGTAATGTTTCATTCTAAGCCCAAATTGATATTCTAAAACAGATCCTTGATAAGAGCAATTCAATTACCAGTATTATCAATTTAAATTCTTAAGCTATAATTCTGTATCTTAAAAAGGAGAAAGCTAATTGAAAGAAAATAAATTCTCATTATAAGGTAATGACTGATTGAACATGGACACTCTGTTTGATTTATTTGTTATATATTTAGTGTAAATTTTTCATATAATAATAATAAAGTTTAAAAGATCTATTCCAAGTGAAGGTATATTAATACAGGAAAAATAATTGTGTTAATTTTCTTTGCATACTAAAACATAGATGCTAAGTAATTAACAGCTTTGCCTTTGGGAAGAATATTGATTTTGTACTTGCAAGCTGATATTTCAGTTGTGCTAGATGCATGGAAGCTATACGTACATTTCCTCTTTTAGCTTTTCCATAGTCCTTACATCATTTCCACATATGTTGTCCTATTGAACTTTATATGATGATTTGGATTTTAAACAATGTTGACACCCTAATAGTTTCATATTTGCCAATCCTTTATGCAAATATCTTATTTCAAAATGAAAAAAAAAATGGAGATTGGGGAAAATAGTGTCCTTTACAGTAGAATATACCCCTTCTTATGTGCCCCTTAAAGATTTCCTATAAAATTCCTAGTGTTACAAGGAACACTGTTAGGAAAATTGCATTATCCAAATTCTGATTTTATAAGTGAAAACATTGAGATCATATGACTTTATCACCAGGGTGTTCATAGTAAAATGAAGAATAAAAACAGACTATCTTGGTCTGGGAAGGTGGCTTAATGGTAGATTGCTGCCTAGCCTGCAGGAAGCCCTGGGTTTAATTCCTCAGTACCAGAAAAACAGAAAAAGCTGGAATTGACGCTGTGGCTCAAGGGGTAGAGTGCTAGCCTTGAGCAAAAGAAGTTCAGGGACAGTGCCTAGGCCTGGAGTTCAAGCCCTAGGACCAGCAACAACAACAACAAAAACAGATTATCTTGATTCTAAATCCAGTTTTTTTAGGAAATAATTTACTGAGAATAAAATTGCCTTAGGAAAGATTTATGACTTTTTGTTGGTGTTTTTTATTTTGTTTTCTTTTCCTGTTGCAGAGAAAGTATAGTGATTATTTAATTAAAAATCTTTCCTTAACTCAGTAGACGTTTTGCAAGTCTAAATATAGAGATATTGATGTAGACTGAATAAGCTTTTATTTTATAGTATCATTATCTTATTCTAGATAGTGAAATAGAAGAAGAATCCGAAGAAGATGAAGATTATATTCCATCAGAAGACTGGAAAAAGGTAGTTAAAGTTATGTTTTAAAAGCCAGTTGTAGTTATTCTTTTAATACTTCCATATATTTATCATGTTTTTTTGTGACATTGAAGCATTTCATAAATATCCAGGTTCCTCTTTAATATATCCAAGTAAGAGATAGTCTTACATTTTTTTAACAAAAGGAATGTAAAGAATTGGATTTTGTTGAGCTAGTCAATATTCAAACCAATGTATAGTTGGAAAACTATTATATTTTTTCAAGTTTTCTAGACTACAGTACATTGTAAAAAGTCTCAGAATGATTGGCTTTACTGTTATTTATTTCTGATAAGTCTGTTGTATACAAATTTGAGTATTGATACAAGTTTGGTTTCTCTGTAACTACACAAGTTGTCTGTTTCTAAGATGAGTCTAAAACAGTTTTTATTAGTATATACACAATCATTGCTTTGAAAACACAGCTTAAAAAACCAAGTTGGGTAAATATATTAAAGATGGTCTCTAGGCAAGTTTCACTTAATCTGATGTGAACATTCAGATTTAGTTATATTTCCTATAAAAAGATGTTACTATGTTTACAGGGGAATTTTTTTTCAGTTTTGTATTGAAGTATGAAAGTACTTACCCATTTGGTTTGGAGTTTCACCTAACCAGTTTATTTCCCTTACCTTAAAGCTATTTCTTGTGTGTGTCAGGTCACTTAGGGAGTGTTAACAGGTTGAGTCCTGTCCTAGAGTTTCTGATTTAGTAGGTATGGGTTGAGCATTTGGATTTCTAACAATTTCTCAGTTAATGCAACAAATTTTAAATGCAGATACTCTGAAAACATCTGAATCTGGCTCTTTCACAGTGTTATATGATCATGCAATAACCTAAATGATCAGAATTCACTTACTTATTTTTACTGTATCTTGAAGTATTGTCATCTACATTGCATTTTACCTATTATAATACTAATAATTTTCCTCCCATCATATGCAAGTGTTTACTTATTATTAACTCACAGTAGTCCTCTGAGGTAGTTAATTGGTTTTATGACAGAGAGATCAGGTTACCTAGGAAATTATTTAAGCCAGAGAATCATGTTCCTAGATCTTTCTAATGTTCTATATTATTTTTTAAATAGGAGATTATGGTGGGTTCCATGTTTCAAGCAGAGATTCCAGTTGGCATTTGTAGATACAAAGAAAATGAAAAAGGTGAGCTACTTAGCTGGACTTACACTGTTGAAATAATAAACTATTATTATATGTAAATGTAATAAGACTATGGTAATCTACTAAATAATCCCATTGGTTTATAAAAAGAGGCCTGCATTATTTTCTGTAAGGACCACTTACTATTTTCTGTTTGTCCTTATACGTTTAGTAGAAAAAGTGAATACCTTTTTTGTGTGTGTGACTTAAAATACCCCAGGCATATGTTTCCTTTTAACTTTTTTTCATATGGCAAATCTTGGTACTATACTGTTTTTTAACCTTTATAACTAAAAGCAGGTTATTTTGTGTTAATGTTAAAACAGGTTTAAAAACAAACTAAAAGTTATGTATAGTGACAAAAGCTTATAATCCCAAGTTATGGGAGGCAAAGGCAGAATTGTAGGTCTGAGACCTTTCTGGCCAACATAGATTCAACTGATACAAAGCTCCTTTGTATCTGAGTCAAGATGCAAAGGATTGAAGTTTAAGGTTAGTCCATGCAAAAAGTTAACAAGACCCAAACTTTAGCAAAAATGCTGGATGTGGTGGTCCACTTGTCTTTCCAGTTATGTAAGAGATGTGAATAGAAGAACCATGGTCCATGCTGCCCCCATCCCCCCAAAAAAAAGTGTGTGTGTGTATATATATATATATTTGAGACCCTAAGTGCCTGCCTAGCAAGCATGAATTTCAGTATTCCCCCCCCCACAACTTCCCCACCAAAAAAAAAAGAAAAACATGTATTTAAAATAACATGGGGATACTATTTACTTCCTACATGATTTCTAAGTCATTTTATCTATCAAGTCCTAAAGTCAATCCTGAGGATTTTTTTTTTTTTTTTTTTTTGTCGGTTGTGGGGCTTGAACTCTGAGCCTGGGTGCTGGCCTTCAGCTCTTCAGCTCAAGGCTAGCACTCTACCACTTGAGCCACAGTGCCAGTCCAGTTTTCTGAGTGGTTTATTGGAGATAAGGGTCTTACCGGCTTTTCTTGCTCAGGCTGGCTTTGAACTGTGATCCTCAGCTCTCATCATCCTGAGTAGCTAGGATTACAGGTGTGAGCCACCAGCGCTCAGCTCCTGCGGATTTTTTTTAAGAGGCTTTCACATTAGTCATTTTATATGGGTTTGAGAAAGAATGTTACATATATTTTTAATGAGTTTATGGACAACATGACACATCACTCAAAGCTAACCATCTTTCTTTTCTTCCCATTTCAACTTTACATATAAAGTCCCCTTTGTAGTTGAGAAATCTTTCATTCTTTATTTTTTTTTCCTATTCGATTCATATTCTTGATATGTATGTACTCTCAGCAGTAGATCAAAAACAGTTTAGGAACACCACAGGCCAGTAAATTTGCATGACAAAAATGTTTTAACATGGAGGTGTTTAAAATATCGAAGTACTGTAACAGACAAAGTGTAAACTGGGAATATAATTTGGACTGTTTTAGAATCAGAAAAGGCAATACAGATTATTTATAGAAATGCTAATTATTCTCACTTCATGGTCATTATCATCGTTATTTTGATTTTATAAAATGAAGTATTATTCTTAAGGTTAATGATATAATCAGTTCTATTCTACTCGCTTAGCCATAGTTCCAGGAGTCTGGCTTGTCATTTGGCACTATCCTGGTGATGACTGTCTTCTCTGCTTAAATAAACCCTTGTGTATACCTTGTGGTTAAAGTTTGCAGAATTGTCCAGAAATATCTTTTAGGTAGTTTGTATTTGTTCCATAGCCTATGAAGATACTTGTTCCATACCTGGAGGACTATGGGACTCTTCATCTACATCATTTTGAGACAGTCAGGCCCACCCCAAGAATATACATAATCTCAGTCTATTTCCTTTGGAAAAAACGGGCTGTACAGAAAATAAAAATCAGTAACACTATTTTCACATTCACTTTATCATTGAAGTTTATTGCGTTTAGAATTTAGCTTTACTAGAATTATATCAGCAGTTTAGAAAAGGAATAACTTGTTAAGGAAATTTGGATATTGTTCTTTCAACTGCATTTTAAAGGAGAGTATGCATTTTGGGAAATAGAAGAAGGTGAAGGTAGTTCTAAAGTATATGTGTATAGACGGAGGAGCAAAGTAAACTCATGTGAAAATATATTGCCTGGTACTGAGACTAACTAGTACATTTGATTAGCTGTTGTAACAAGGAAAGTTACAGAGTTACCTTTGCTCTGTGTTTTTTTGTGTGTCAGTTTCTTTTCTATTGTCATATACAGCAGGAGCATTAAAAACTTCCTCACTAGTTACTACTCTATCTCTACTTCTACAAACAAACTTTTCAAAGGAGTTTTTTTTATTATTTCACCTTCGCACAGAGGACAGGTCATAATATTTACTTCCTTGTTAGTAAATCCAGGGTAGCTTTTTCACTATTTATCCTGGTCATTCTTAGTCTTTGAAATTACCCTGTGGACACTTTAACTTGGTTCCTGTAATGCCACTCTTGCTCTTAATTCTATCTTACACGACTTCCTCTTCTGTTTTCAATTTTCTGTTACTCAGGTTCTTATATTCTTTTTCTCTCTTTAAATCTTGGTGAGATTTAGGTTTTAGTCTTATCATAGAAATAATAGAGAAACTTTAATTTTTTTTTAACTGTGACTTCTGTATATGGAAAGGATTTACTTTCTAATGCATTTCCAAAATATAAAGGGGCTGGGATATAGCTCAGTGGCAAAGTGCTTGCCTAGCAAGTGCAACGTTCTGGGTTCGATCCCCAGTACCAAAAAAGAAAAGACAAAAAAAATACAGTTAAAAAAGACCCAAACAAAAAAAAAAACAACCCTGGAAGTGGTGCTATGGCTCAAGCAGTAGAGCGCTCGCCTTGAGCTGAAGGACAGCGCCCAGGCCAAGAGTTCAAGCCCCATGACCGACAAAAATAATAATCATAATTCCAAAATATAAAGAATATAGTAAAACCTTTTACAGTGGGGCACATCCATAATTATAGCAATTGAGAAACTGAGGCAGGAGGATCTTAAGTTTGAAGCCAGTATATAACAAAAAACAAAAGGAAAAAAAGAATTAAAAAGCAGTATAAAAATTGGCCTTCATTCCACCACTAAGAAATGATTAATATTGTTAATGTCTAATGCACATTATTCTAGAAAAACCTTTTAAAAACGAACATAGGGATGGGAAGATGGCTCAGTGATACAGTGCTTGCCTTGCATGTATATGAGGCCCTGGGTTCAATTCCTCAGCACCACATAAGCAGAAAAAGCTGGTAGCGCTGTGGCTCAAGTGGTAGAGCACTAGCCTTGAACTGAAGAGCTGAGGGACAGCGCCCAGGCCCAGAGTTCAAGCCCCACGACCGACAAAAAAAAAAAAAACCATAATATTCAAAATACTTTGTTTTACTAATTTAGTGTATGAAAATGAAGATCAACTCTTGTGGGACCCTGAATATTTACCAGAAGATAAAGTAATTGTATTTCTTAAGGATGCATCTCGAAGAACAGGTGATGAGAAAGGTGTAGAAGCTATTCCTGAAGGATCTCATATAAAAGACAATGAGCAGGTAGGTCTGAATAAGAAACATTTGAGGCTTTCTGCATGTAAATTACTCCCCCACACACATTTTATAAATGTGAATATGAAAATGTTACCACTTTAACTGTTAACCACCAAAATTGCTATACTGTTAGTAGAGAATCCAAGTTTGTCAACCCTTGTTACTATGCCTATTTCCTTAGCATGATTTCGGCTCAAATAAATAAGAGCCTTGATAATTTAGTTTTGTTGTATATACTTTTGTATGGCTTTTAAAAATTCTTTTGATTATCCCTGAGGATCTGTGGATATCATCAACTTAGAATATTTGGATAATGTCATGTTAACACTAGTACTAGAAGCTAACAGCAGGTTTAAAAAATTTTTCATAATTAAGTACAAATTACTTTATTAGTACGATGCATCTTGATCAATGTCACCACTTTTATCCTCTTCCATCCTTCCCAATTCTTCCCCTTAGTTTTCTTATATTCACAAGACATGTGCTTTGAATATTATGACTACATTCTCCCCTACCTTCCTCTCCATTGACCCTCCCTCCCCCACCCCCCTACCACCTTTTAAGTGCCATTTTCCTGGTATTCTAAATTCTTCGGATTCTATTGTCCCCCCCCCCATTAAATTATCCATTTTACTTTGCACCTTCTTCAGGGTAGTTAATTATGAGGCTTAAAAATAATGTTTGTTTGTAATTGGTGTGGTATACATGTTACTTATCCTCGAAAGCATAAAAAGCAAACACTAGATTTAAGAACCTTTATTCTTTAAAAAAAAGCTACCACTTGTACTGAACTGTTTTTAGTCTGGTCATATACATTGAAGCCTTTTTTCCCCTTAGGCCTTATATGAATTGGTTAAATGCAATTTTGATACAGAAGAAGCATTAAGAAGATTAAGATTTAATGTAAAAGCAGCTAGAGGTAAGCATAAATGTTAAACTTTTATGTTTGTATGATTTAGCAGAATTTTAATAAATTCATGAGTATCTAAATATATCCTCAGCTAAATAATATTGATCCTTCTGAATTTAGTAAATATTTTCAAAATGCGGGTGTTACACAAGGCATAATGGGGAATAGGAATAATTCTGCTTTTCTTTCATTATGGGAAAAATAAGGCCATTTAAGTGAAAATATTAATATACATATTTCCTTATAATCTCATAGCATGTTGAGGGTTTTCGTATTTGATCTTGGTAATAGCCCTATGCGGTAAGTACTATGGCAGATATTGCTTTCATTTGCTTTTTTATTCTAAATCTTTTTTACTCTAAAAATCTCACTTCATGAAAAGAGCACTGTTTATATATATAAATATTTTTAATATGTACATAAACATGTATATTTAAGAAACTATTGAGAGATTCTCAACAAAAAAATTGAGCATCTTCTAAGTTCTGAGAGCTTAACCTATACTCCTATCTCCTGTGGTAACTGGGAACCTAGAGAGGAAAGGTAAAAAGTAGTTATGTCCACTTCTTCCTTCTTGAGAGTTAAAGAGCCCTATTAAAAATAACGTTTTGTTGCAAGGAACTGGTAGTTCACACCATAATCCTAGCTACTCAGGAGGCTGAGATCTGAGGATTATGGTTAAAAGCCAGTTGGGGACGTCAAGTCTGTGAAACCCTCATCTCCAATTAGCCACCAAAAAAAAAAAAAGGAAGTAGAGCTCTGGCTTGAAGTGTTAGAGCACTAGCCTTAAGTGAAAGAGCTCCAGGACAGCACCCAGGCCCTGAGTTCAAGCCCCATGACTGGAAAAAACAAAAACAAACAAAAAACCTTTGTAGTTAGTCTCAATGTAGTAAAGAACTTACAAAGAAAGCTTCTAGAACAAAGTATCTTAGTTTGAAGGCAAAAATTAATTCGCTTTATTGCATTTTAGAAATTCATTTGCATAACACAAGAACATAAAGTTAAACATTCATTTATAATAGTATAGATCATAAGTTTCTATTAGTTTTTATCTCTCAAACTTGATTTAAATCTTTTATTAAGATCTAATCTTTTTTATGCAAGTGGTTACAAATTAACTCAACTATAGCAGACTCTAGGGAAAACTCAAATAGTATAATTGTTTAGAAAGACTAGGTTGAAACCCAGCAAAATAAACCAGGAATGGGTACATACAAGAGGAGGGGTAGGGCTAAGGGGAGAAAGGTAAATAAATGGGTAGAGGTGGAGGAGAGAATACAGTCAAGAATTAATTGTATATACCACAAAATTGAGAAAAGTAAGGGAAGGGGGGTTGAGAATGTTGAAGGGGATGACTCTGATCAAGATGCATTGTATTCAGCCGGGCGCTGGTGGCTCACGCCTGTAATCCTAGCTACTCGGGAGGCTGAGATCTGAGGATCGCGGTTCAAAGCCAGCCTGAGCAGGAAAGACCGTGAGACTCCTATCTCCAATAAACCACCAGAAAACCGGAAGTGGCGCTGTCGCTCAAGTGGTAGAGCGCTCGCCTTGAGCTGAAGAGCTGAGGGACAGCGCCCAGGCCCAGAGTTCAAGCCCCACGACCGACAAAAAAAAAAAAAAAGATGCATTGTATTCATAAACTGCATTGTTAAATGGGACTTCCTTTGAATGACTACTTAAAGATTGTTTGTTTTGTGTGTGTGCTGGTCCTAAGACTTGAACTCAAGGCCTAGGCACTATCCTTAAGCTTCTTTTTGCTCAAGGCTAGTGCACTACCACTGAGCCACAACTGGCTTCTGCCCTGGCTAGCTCTGAACCATAATCCTCTGAATAACTAGAATTAGAGGGGTGAGCCACTGGCATCTAGCTGCTCTTAAAGTTAATTTTTAAAAAGAGATATTTCTGTTGTGATGAAAAAGTTATTTCAGTAAAAAGGGATTAGTAGTAAACAGGAAGTATTTCTGTGAACATATTTAAAGAAACTTAAAGAATTGAAAGGGATTTAATAGAGTTGTGTTTTGAAAAATTAGGAGAGCAGTGTGCTTATGTGATGTCAACACTCCAGAGGCTGAGGCTAGAGATGTGTAGACCAAATCATTCAAAACTTTTGTCTTAGTTCATTTTTAACCAGAATGTTAAGTTTTTGTCTGCATTTTTGTTATGGGTAACATTTTAGAGAATTTTGCTTAACAGTTTTTCATCTCCCATTTTATCAGAGGAATTATCTGTATGGACAGAGGAAGAGTGTAGAAATTTTGAACAAGGGCTGAAGGCCTATGGAAAAGATTTTCATTTGATTCAGGCTAATAAAGTAAGTAATGATGTGTGTTGTCTTTTTTACAAAAAAAGTTAGTTTAGCAACCCAGTTGTCATCTTAATTTGCTGTGTTCTCTAATGTTAGTTTCTTTGCCATATAACTGATTATTAAATGAGCAAACCTAGACTTCCTGACATAAATTTACCAGGTGACTGTTTTCCTAGTGTATGATATTGGAAATATTTAAGAATTGAATTAATTTACAGTATATTAACTTTCTGTTGGGGATGTGTTGTACAATACAATTATTGATACCAACTTCCCATAGTCTGTAACAGGATATCTATCTCAAGGTGAGTCTTTAAAGTAAATTTAAAACTTAAAAGCACTTTTAACCTGAAACTTAAAATAGTTACTATATTTGCAACATTCTTAAGTCTAATATTGCATTCCTAAGATGAAATTTCCAAAATCATCCATCTCAGTAGATTGGCTTTATTAATAATTATTAGTTATTATGAATTAGGTATTTACCATGATAATATATATCCCAAAAGAACTTTATAATTATTTGTATTTGTTATTGTTGTTTTTAATGGTATTGTAGTTTGACCTGAAGGCTTCTCATTTGCTACACAGGCAGGCAGGCAGGTAGGCAAGCACTATACCACTTGAGCCACACTCCCGCCCAGGAGTTCAGTTCTTACAACTAAACTTAGGATTCATTATGGTAAATACACAATTTAATAGAATAAGAAAAGGAGTTATTTATCTTGAAAATAGACCAAACAATATTAATGTCTCAGAGATACATATAGGAAATTAACTCCTAGATTTATGAACATCACATTTTTACTTAGTGCAAGAAGCTTGGCTTTTCATATTTTCTTAAGGCTATTTTCTTAAGTTTCATGTGGTAGGTTGAACAGGACTCTGTTGTAAATAACTAAACTATGTCTAAGTCTCTAAGTAGTTTTTTATTCTCATTTTAGGTAATTTTGACCGTGACTCTGGTATTCTGTTAATTTAACTTCAGTTTATGAGCCTTAAATAAGCATTATAGATCCTGAGAGTTCATTTTTTTAAATTTTTCCGTGCAATAACTACTTAATTCTTAATTTTCTTGTTGCATTTTAGTAATTTACATAGGGTATTAATGAAAGAAGGGAAATTTTAGTATTTGGGATTACTTCATAAGTGATGCAGTTAGTATAAAAAATGTATGCCCCTATTTTGAACAAATCATTGGATAAACTCAAGTATAGCCAGCACTCAGGACTGCATTGTGCTAGTGATTGGTTATATATGGCTTGAATTCCTTTTAAAAATCCCATCAGTCTATATGTGGTGGTATGGCAGTTGACCCCTGTAATTTCAATTACATGAGAATACATTTGGCATAGTGGTACACACTAGTACATACATAGTGGTACCATATATCCCAGCTACATGGGAACCCAAATATTACTAAATATAAGACCCTGATTTATTTGTATATATTTGAGGTACTGATCTTTCAGTATTACAGAATGTGTGTTAGGTAATATACTAGTTGTTCTAGTGAACAAAGACATAATTCTTTGATGGAAAAAAAGTCCATTGAAACATATATTTGAGATTAAAATTCAGCTCATAATCATGACTCCTGTTATGAAGTCTTAAAGATATTTTTATATTAATGTTACATGCCCCAAATGTCTTCAGATTTCACTTTCAGTAAAGTATAATTTACTTGTTTTAAATCAAGAAATAAGATTCTTAGGAGGCCCAGAAAGAAGCTAAAAAGAACCTTATTTTTAAAAAGTCAGATTTCTTTTAATCTCAGCAAAATGGGTGAGCATTATAAAGTACAAATAGAGAGAAAGAAAGAAGAAAGTAAATTGGGAAAGGGTATTATTCATCAATCATTGTCCTTAGGTGAAATCAGAGCCACAAGAAACCTGCTTCAAGATCAAAGCTTTATGGGTTAAATCAGTATTGTGTCCAAACACTAATGAAGATACCCTTTGCACCCTCTGCTATCCTATTTAAATTCCCAGTGTTTTACTCATACATATCAACTCTACCTTCTCCTTAATAAACTAGGTAACAAAAGTGGAGGGGGTACTGTCAGCATCATAATCCCATAGTTGTTAAAACATTCTGTGAAAGGAGCTGTTGGTCTCCTTATTTATGTACATGTAGGTGCAGCACAGTCAGCCAAGGACTAACAATATAAACATTACAATCCAATAGCTTTTCTATCACTATTTCATATTTGCAGACTTTGTAGAAAGATAAATTGGTTGAGATTGCTATTGGAACTTGGGATATAATCTTTTAGGGGATTTAAAGGTAGATTCTTAGGTGGTCTGTGAGTAAAATTTTAACCTAAACCCCACTTCCAAATATTTTTTCTTTTTTCTTTTTGTTGTTGTTGTTTCTTTTCTTTTTTATTTTTTTTTATTTGTACTGGGACTTGAATTATGGCTTAGTGTTTTCACTTAACATTTTTGCTTGCAGCTGGTATTCTACTGCTTGAGCCACACCACCAATTCAGCATTTTGCTGGCTAATTTGGAATAGAGTCTCACAGAGTATTTGTCCCAGTTTGGCTTTGAACTGAAATACTCACTCAGACTCCCAAGTAGTTAGGATTATAAGTGTGAGCCACTGCTGACTGTCCCAGTATTTCCAACAGAAGAATATTTATTTTATTCCAAATTATTAGGATGGTGGAAGTCTTTTAAAAAGCAGAATGAATGCTAAATGTCAAAAGACCAGTTACCAATGCATTATTTCTCTTAATAGAAATTTAGAAAGAATAGCTTTCATTAGTTACTTCAGTCCTGTGTTTCATACATAATGTGTCAATTGAGGATTGACAGATTCCAGAGTTTTAGATTTTTTTTTTAATTTTGTAAGTCTGTTAGGGAAAATAATTCTTAAAAACAATTATTTGTTGTAGGTTCGAACAAGATCAGTTGGTGAATGTGTAGCATTCTATTACATGTGGAAAAAGTCAGAACGCTACGACTTCTTTGCTCAGCAAACTCGATTTGGAAAGAAGAAATATAATCTTCATCCTGGTGTAACGTGAGTTGTTTCCTTTATGTATATGTATGTATGTGTGTGTGTATATATATATGTATATTTACATGTGTATATATTTTTGCTGAGATTTCCTAGATTGTTTAAAAATACAGTTTTTAGATTCTTTTATAATAGAATTTCTCCTACTTTAAATGTGTTTCCTGTTCACATACCTTCATAGGGCATTTAGATTGTTCAGTATTATAGAAAATTGTAAACCACAGTTTGTACTGAGACAGCTAATACCATAAAATTAAGGTTTTGAGTATATCTACTTATTCATGTACTGTGAGAAAGAAATGAATCAGAACAACTGTGAAGGCATTTTTGTTCAAATTCTTTTCCATTCAGTAAAGAATAAGCAATTTTAGTCTTAATGATACTTTAAAAGCAGTGAAAATAGTTAAAAGGGGAGAGGCTTAGCTTTTTTACAACTGCAGAATAACTAGTTATAAAATCTTTAGGGGCTGGGAAGGTGGCTCAGTGCTTGCCTTGCATACCTGAGGCCCTGGGTTCGATTCCTCAGCACCCCATAAGCAAAAAGAAAACAGCTGGAAGTGGCACTGTGGCTCAAGTGGTAGCGCACTAGCCTTGAGCTGAAGAGCTGAGAGCCAGCGCCCAGGCCCAGAGTTCAGACCCCACAACCGAACCTCAAAAAAAAAAAAAAAATTTCAAGTTCTCTAAAAAAAACAACAACAAAAAAAAAACCTTTAAAGAGGAAAGGGACATAACTTTTTTCCTTATCTAATCTATTTTGATCACAAGAACCAAACAGCATTGGAATGTAGATGTTCCAAAAAGCAAAAAAGTGTAAGGTTATAATCAGATCAAACTTCACTGTCATTTCTATTACAGATTTTTATAGAGAAAAGAACATAGTGGTTTCCCTTGTACCTGTTCTGAATCTTTCATCAGAAGTAATACAGTTAGCTTTCTTCCACTGACATAAATATCCCAATGTATATGTCTTTAATGCCTAATGCAGTCCTCATACATTGAATTATCTTAGCCTTATTCATTCTCCTTTGACACAAAGCAATCTACTAGTACAACTAGTGATCTGTTATGTAAGTGCAGAGTATTGAACACTTGGTCTGACAGGAATTACTTTAAAGTGCTATTTAATTCTTATGCTGGAATTAACTTTACAATATAATCCTTTATTGTTTCCTTCGATATTTCTTACTGTTTATAGCATAAAAATAATGCATTGCTATTACTTGATTTGGTCAGTGTACCCCAATAAAGGTATCTTTAAGAATAAATGCTTTTGACAGATACGTTTGTTATATATGTTTGATTGAGCTTTCAAACTCCTAGACTTGACTGTTTCTTGGTCATGTTCATTTGTAAATAAGGGCCTCTGCTGGCAACTTTCTTGGAGAATCCAAGCTCAAAGAAAAACATCCAAAAAGGAATAAATGAGGGCTGAGTTTAGTGGGAAAGCATGTTTCTACCATGTGCACAGTCCTAGGTTTATCCTCTTTCATCAAAAAAAAAAAAAAAGGAATAGGAATAAAACAAGTGTGATTGACCCTTGGAAATCATAAGCATTATTCATTGGTAATATTCAAGCATAATGATACAGAATTAGATATCACTATTCATACTTGAATATTCATAATTTTAAAGCTTCTGTAGGGAAAAGCAATAGTAACGTCTTTCATTTTTTTCACCCATTTCAGAAATAATATTCACACATGAACTACAGTCAATCTGTCGTCATCAGCAGTAAGAACATAAGAATTGCCAGGCTGAGTCAGACCCCATGGTTCATCCAGTTTTCTTTTTCAGAAAGCATCACCAAGGAAAGTGTTGTGGGCTGGCTTAGTCGGCTCTCTGAAGTCAAGCTCAACAGGTTAGGGATGTAACACCAAACATTCTAGTTTCTCTAATGATCTCCATAATTTCTGAGAACTTTTTGAAGATATCTATATATGTAAGCTTGATTTAAAAAAAAAAGTTAAGTGCTCTGTAGGTAGAGAAACCATAATTAAAAGAAACTCATTTTCTTAGGTTATATGAGTTAACAGTAGTCGTGTGCTATAATGGTATATGAAGTGAACAATTTCTTCTTTTAATTTTAACTGAAAGAACCATAGCTTTTTAACTGATACCCATTCTTTTTAGCTGTATTATATCTTTATAAGAAGTGACTAAACTACATTATTTTCCATAGAGGGGGAAGTTGTGGGTTTTTTTTAATTGTTGTAAGCATTGAGAAATTTTTGTTTCTGCTAATAATTACATTTTAAAAGACTACATAAAACATTCATATCTTTAGAGAAACAAATTGGTTCTCATCCTTTTTAGATCAAAATCCATATTTTAGAGTGCCTTATCCTTAAAGTATTTAAATTTTTCGATTAAAGTGTTGCCTTCCATTATTCTCACAATGAAGCCCATTTGCCACTTTTCTGCCAACAGCCTTTGAAAGAACGACTGCAGCTTATTCCTATTTACTATCTAGAAGAATTGAAAGCCATATACAAATTGGAGATGTAACTGTAAAATACTCATCCTTCCAAATAATTTTAAGTAAAAATGGATTCAGCATCACTCCAGTTATTTGTACTCCATCCTTTCAGATGGTCTGTGGGACTTTTCTGATGTATTAACCCAGAAAGTAAAGATGATTATTACTCTCTCACAGGATTAGTGCTGCATTCAGAAATTTAAATAATTTTGATATCTGATCACTTCTAGCTTCCTTTTGCTTGCTTGGCTTTTAACAAATCCCTTTGGTGTTCATCTTGTCATTTGTGTTTCTCTTTCAAACTTGTTATATAATTACAATGAATAGCATAGAGCTAAGAGGTCTTAAAAACCATTGTACTTACTAATTTCCTATACTTTGATAAGGAAAGTAATGCCTAGAATAGTAAATTGATTAGGTCATGATTTTATATGTTTCTGTGATATGTATTACTTTTATACTTAGACTATTTGAGGTCTGGTACCATGTTCATATATATAAAATATACCCATAACCCAGATTACAATGGTGATCACGTTTTTAGGTTATAAGAATAATTAATAATATGCAGTATATTACCACAGACTTTTGGAAAAGTCCTAAGAGCTTTCACTCTTTCCTACTTAAATTCCTTTTGCCCTGCTTACAAAATTCTGAAATTCATTTTAATATTTCTGTTATTCTGAAGGAATTTTAAAATAATGTTTTTCAGTATTTATTGAGCTTCTGTTTGATACCATGTGTGTGTTATGTAGCAGTGATAAACAAAATTGACTATAATTTCTGCCTATGGAGGATTATATCCTATACAGCAAACTTTCTGTGAAATGGGGAAAATTAAATATTCAGCCCCACAAGCTGTTAGATCCTTGAAACAACTACCCTCCTGTTACCAATGTTTAAAGACAACCATAAACACTAATATATGTGGCTGTGTTCTGATTAGCATTACCACAAAGGTGGAGGCCACAGCCGTAGTTTTCTGACTTTCATTCTAGTGATTGATGAACACTACTAGTTCAAGAACCTTTTCATACACATATTAAGCAACCTTGTTTGGTAGGTAGGGCAGGTGTGATTTATCTGAATTGTCTAGATAAAGACACTCATCTTCAAAGAAACAAGTATTTAGCCCAGATCTTCTACCCAATCCAGTATCACCACAACTGCATAGTTCAGAAATGACTAAGGAAAGAAGGAGCTCACATACAATGAGATATTGGCATAATAAAGCAAGCAGATAAATGCAGGACTGTAGCTTATTATAGCTCAGATCTGACAAAAAGATGGGTTTGGGAAGTGACCAATTCTTTCCATTAGGCCCCAGTTTCTTTTTCAAGTATTGCTTTTAGGAGCTTTAAAATCCTGGATTGTACCCGTTCAGAAATTATTTTGTACTTTTGATGACATCACTATTATCTCTTCATTTACAGATCCTCCAGTTTTAGTTGGGCCACTCTGGGTACTTTAAGTCTTTAAACTTAAAGTTTGCTAATTTAATTCTTTTATATATTTCCACTATATGCATGTAGCCAAAAAGAGCTTCCCACTTAAATATTTAGATCATGACACTATACTGGAATGAAAGTAAGTGAAAAATTAGCATATATTTTTTAATGAAGGTTGTAAATTTAACCTCAGCTAATTTTAATTAAGAAAGTTAATTGTATTATCACTTTGTTTTAAGGGATTACATGGATCGTCTTTTAGATGAAAGTGAAAGTGCTGCATCTAGTCGTGCACCATCCCCTCCCCCAACTGCCTCAAACAGTAGTAACAGCCAGTCTGAGAAAGAAGATGGCACTATAAGCAATAATAACCAAAATGGTAAGTAACTGAAGAAATCTTTTTACTTCTTCATTACAAGGGACCTAGTCCTTCAGCATCTCAAGAAATTCAGTTTAGTCTGTTTTGTGTCTGTGTGGGTCTTGGACCTGGGTGCCATCTTTGAGCTTTTTTGCACTCTACCACTTGAGCCATAGCTCTATTTCCTGTATTTGGGTAGTTAATTGAAGGAAACAGTCTCATGGACTTTCCTGCCCAGGCTGGCTTCCAACTATTCTTCAGATCTCAGCCTCCTAAGTGGCTAAGATTACAGATGTAAATACTGGCACCTGGCACAGTTTAGGCTTTTATTTTAGATTTAGAAAGTGAACATTAAAATACAAAACATTGGCAGATACATATTTTAACACAGTACAAATTAATTAGAACTTTCCGTGACATCACAAAAAGTAAATTTAATAAAGCATGCTATCAATAATGACCATTTGTTTTAAGAAATTTGTTTTCAGTGGCATCCTTTTTCCTATCTAGTTGAAATGATGCTAGATAATAAATATTACTGTTAACTTGCAGAACAAAACTTTTTCATAGCAGAAACACAAAAATTTATTTAATACCTTTCAAGCTCCTCTCACTTGAGTAAAGTACATAAAGTTAAAAACTGGATGTATAAGGGCATTATTTTGAATATCTAAGTTGCCTTTTAAAAAGCATAATCTTGAAAAATGAGAAAACATAAAGTAGGCTATCTACTTGTGATTTGATATTCCCACAAATATACTTAGCTCCATGAAGAAGAAAAAGCAGAAGCCATACTGTGCACTTACTCATGTATGCAAGCACACAAAGCAGGTACTGAGAGTTTAACATGGCCTGGGTATACTGTCCCTTACCTTTTTTGCTCAAGACTGGCACTCTTTCACTTGAGCTACAGTTCTGCTTCCAGTTTTTTGCCGGTTAATTAAAGAGTCTCACAGACTCTCCTGCCCAGGCTGGCTAATTCTCAGATCTTGTCCTTTTTTGTAGGTATGAGGCACCAGCCCCCAGCCATACTGATTTTTTTGAGTCAAACAAGTGTTATTATTCAGAATATACAGAGGACCAGATGTCACTGTACTGACTGGCAACAACTAGTCATAGAATTGCTTTGACTTTATTTTGATTAAAATGTTTATCCTAAGTAGAGAATATTACTAAACAGAGAGTAATGGATGTACATCCCTCTCCTCTTAAGGGGGAAAGTGGTGGATTTGTGAGAGCCAGGGGAAAAATAACCTCTGCCAGAACTTTGTGCTCTATTCTGAGTTTGATCTCACACTGGCTGTAATATAATTAGTTCATTTTATGATTCTGATTTATTCCCTCATTACTTCCCTTCTAAGAATAAGCCAAACAGATAAAAGTTAGGACCCAACAGCCAGTCTTAGACTATGTAAGACTGCTCATGAGTATGAATATATAATGCCAGCTACAACTCCAGAGTAGCACATGAATAACTTTGTGACCAGGAATTCTTTTCCTGCTCAAAATATCCTACCACCCAATGAAGTCATTTCCTTCACCTTCTTATTTGATGAAAAAATACTGTTACGGTTGTAAAGTATTCTGAAGTAAACTACGAAGTATTCAGTAGCTTGGATGATACTCATATCATTTTTAGTTTCAACCAAGATTTTCAGATTTCTCAAAGGAACTTTTTAGCCTGATTTAATTTGCTTTATCAGGACTTTACTAGGTTGAAATATTAAAGCTACGTTGGGCCTAATCAGTCTGACCTAGCACTTTGGACTTGGTACTATATAGAATTATTCTTCAGGAGCATATGTATATGTTAGTGAATTCCTGTATGCACTCAGATGTTGAATTATTTGAGGTTTATCCTCTATGCTGAATCTTTAAGTCATTAAAATTTTATTGTCCCCAGTGGTACATCCTGTAGTGTACTTGCTGTCACAAAATGTGTATTCTGTTTTGTAGTTAATTCTAGCATCTTTCTTCTTATTACTTACCTTTAATAGAATAATTATGCTTCACATTTTTCATTCTGGATGGTTGTTTTTGGTTTTGGCTTTTTGGTGGGCTTTTTTTTTTTTGTCTTCTTGGGTATTTTGTTTTCCTTTTTGTTTTGTTTTTTGACACAAAATTTCAAAGCTGGATTCAAACCCATAATCTTCCTGAGTCCTAGGATTATAGATATATACCACCATTCGTGACCATTATTTTTATTTAAGATGAGCATTTTCAGTTGTATATTTGATTACTGCAGCATTAATTTTTTGTTGAGTGACAGATTACTTAACTGTATGTAGATAAACATAGCATGTGAAACATTAAAATGTCGTGATATCTTGATTTTAAATAGCAGAAAACTTGTGCTTTTTTTAATAAAAAATACTGGTTTGTTTTGACATGGTTTTAGAAAGTCGTTATCCTTTTGCTAAATCTAAATAGTTTATTCCTAAATTTTTTTGATTCAGCTTATTTAGACTTGTAGATCCAATACTTTGTTGTTGTATGACAACTAGAATGCTTTTAACATATGCCAATTCTGGTCTTCATTCTTTGCTTTTATTAAATGACAATAATCTTTACAACAGCCTTATATAAACCTGTTTTACTTCTTATTGTATATGTAGTGAAACTGAAATATTGAGAGTAAAGTCTTTGCCTAACACCTCATAGCTGGTAAAGTTATGTAGCCCAAATTTAGAGACATCTGGTGTTTTGATGTTTTATAATCATTTATAAATTTAACTTTTTTTGAGTTAGCAACTTCATTTATATTTCTTTCAACTTAGGGGTGTCAGCTAATGGGCCAGGTGAAATTCTAAACAAAGAAGAAATAAAAGTCGAAGGGTTACACATTAATGGACCAACAGCTGGAAATAAGAAACCACTTCACACAGATATGGATACTAATGGTTATGAAACAGATAACCTTACCACTGACCCAAAACTTGTCCATATGACTGCAAGAAATGAAAATGATCTTGATGATAAAAGTGAGAGACCTGCCAAAAGGCGAAGGGTGAACAGCAGTGGAAAAGAAAGTCCAGGTTCTTCTGAATTTTTGCAAGAAGCAGCCTCACATGGAAAATTGGAAGAACTTGAAAACACGGATGACTAAACTTCAGAAATACTTTACTTTCTTTGGAGTAAATTCTGGTGTGACTAAAATTTTCAGGGTTGATGGGTTACCTTAAAAAGATGATTTTCTTGAAACAATTCATTAAATTTGAAAATTTGAAGAGAGTTTCTCACTTTAGGAATAAGATTTAAGAATTCGGCCTTTCTCAGGTTCTTTTACATTCAAACTGTCAAAGGCCCTCTTAAGTATACCAAAAAAAAATTTTTTTTTAGTCAGTTTGATGACCTAAAGATATCTATCTATACTTTCTTATTTGAAATATTGATCATAAAATTTCACTACACAGTAATTTTTCTTTATTTTGGTAGGGAGGAATTTTAAAAATCAAGTTCAAATTTCTGCTCAAATCTCTTGTTTCTGGTTTTCTTTAATTGTCTTTACAATAGACATTTTCCTATTCATACAAATTGAGTATCATTATTAAGGAAACCCTTATGAATCCTGAAAGTTATGCAAGCATGATTTTTTTTATATATAGAAGTTTAAAAATAAACCAAGTCAGGTTTGTGTATGTAAAATTGTTGACATCAATGATGTCTTTCCATATTCTTATCTGGGCTTAAGAAATACATTCTGTATTTTTCCAGATTCTTTGTAGCCTTTGAAAGATTTTTACAGTACATATGTCTTGACTGAGCTGTCCTTTCTTAATACAAAAAAGCTTGTATAATTTTCTTAACTTGTACAGTTGGTAAACTTTTACGAGAAGAATTGATATTCTGAGTCTGTCAGCTTTCCTTTTATTTTGCTAAGGTTTTTCTAATGTTTTTAAGTGTTTGAGTAGTTAACAAAGTCATGTTTCTTATCCCTGTGGTAAAAGCATTCATAGGGGATTATGAAAATTTGTTTTGATGAATTTCTACTTAAGGACACAGTAGTTTAAAATCTGAAATTAAGCATGATATTTAAATTGTGCAGGGATTTTTTTTGCATTTGCTATAATTTTCATAATTACTTTTGAAACAAAACAAAGGTTTGTTGTCAGGTTAAGTGCTTAAATGTATCATGCTTTCTAGAATCCTGTTTAGTTATTTGTATATGCATTATAAGATTACTCATCTTTGCATTACATTGACAGAGGGAAAGGTCAAGTGATATTTAGATATTGGCATACCCAGGTAGTAACTGCTGGCAGGCAACAATAATTGGTTTCATGAGGAGAAAGTGAGGGAATTTATAGTTCTCAAATTCTTCCTGTTACAGTCCAGTTTTTTTAGATTTGGTGACATTTTCCCAAAATGAAAAGATACAGATAACCATTAATAAACACAGATAGGATTATCCACAAGCATAGCCTTGTCAGGGTACCATTTTATCTTTAGTGCAAAATTCTTGTTAAAAATGTAGTTTTGTACAGCTGATAGACCTATATCCAAACTTTTATAAAAGATTATCAAAACTTTTCTCATACAGACATATGTTTCTTTTAGTTCATTTTCCACATCAGTTTAAGAACCAATAAATCCTCTGTGATCTTGTTTTTAATAGCTCAGTTGTTGAATGCAACTGAATAGAGTTTGCACTGAGTAATTATTATTTAGGCCTTACCCCCCATGAAGTATTATCAAGAACATTTATTCTGACAGCTTCCTTCTTCAATGTGAACAGCTTTCCCCAAACAGTGTTAAAAAGCCACTCTGCAGCACTTGACTTCATATAATGTACATTTACTGTGGATATATATACAATTTTCCAAGTCAATATTTTGAGTAGAAGGGTTGAGAAGCATGAATTTTTGTTTTGTTTTTTAATGTGTTTTACTTAAAACATTAATTTATGCAGAATGGCAGTAGCTTTTGCTGGTTTTGTTTTTAGTTTTTTGGTTTTGTTTTTTGGTATGGTGTGTGCTTGGGGTTTTTTGTTGTTGTTGTTGTTGTTTGTTTTGTGAGAAGGTGGGTTGTTTGGCCTTTTTGAGACAAGGACTCACAGTATAGCCCAGGCTGGCCTCCAACTCACAATCCTCGTACTTCAGTCTCCTGAATATTGGGATTATTGGTGTATACAACCATGCCCAGCTACAATTCATTTCTATGTCAGATTTTATTATGAATCCAAAGCATCCTAGCTCTTTGTCAAAGATGACATAAAAATGTTTTTAAAGAATAGCAATGCTGTACTTTTTAAATTACTGCAATAGTGAAGGTGCCATTTTCACCTTTTTAAAAAGATGCATCTGTTTGCAGGTTTGTAAAGTTCTTGCAGACTTGCTACAGGAGCATTATATAAATTCTCAGGCATGTTGGCAAATACAGCACATGTGTAAATGCTAGGAAATTTTGTTTTCCTTAATCTCTTTAAAGTATGTTTGATGAAAGTCATTCCACTATTACACATAATGCTCAGCTTCACCAATATTTAATTGTATTTTCTGACTCTACAGGTATTTCACTTTATTCTTCATATTATAGCCACTATAACTTGATAAATCATTGCACTATTTAGGATTTTTTGTAATATCATGCATTTAATTTGCTTAAGATTTAGCACCCTTTATAACTCTTGACAAATTGCATTGAGAAAAGAAGTCTTCGTTAATAGCTACTTAATCCCATCCCCCCATACCCACCCTTAACAATGTACTGTCATTTTCATTTGGAATGATGTTGTTTTATGATGTATTTCCAAATAGGGTTCAGAATCTACAACGCAGTTCAACACAAGTCTGTTGAGCTTTAAAATGTATTTGAAGTAATATTTAAATAGTCATTTAAAATTATGAATTAGATGTTTTTAAATTTATGCATAGTAATTTTGCACTGTAAAATATTTCCCTTCTCCCATTTCCTTCTGCCATTCTGAATATGCTTATTAAATATTTTTAAACATATTTGTGTACATAATGTGATGTCATTCAATTAGTGCATTAGGTTAAATAGATTGTTAAACTTGTGTGCTACATGTTATCATGCAAATATTTAGTGCCTTCCTTTTCCCATGCATATTGCACTTATTTTTTCAGTGATTCCTGGTCTTAGTTACATGGTACTAGGTGATACATTTTTTTCTTATTCTCTGTGGAGATCTTTTAATACTAAAACCTCTCACCCATTTTTCTTCTTATATAGTTAAAAATATTTTTCCAGTAGAATTTATATCATATACAGAAATCATACTAACTTTGTAATAGAAATTACATTACTATCAGTAAATAATATAGACTGAGCACCCTGAATAATTGTAGGTTAGTGAACTTCTGTAGGCAACAATTAGATATGTTCTGAAGACTACTAAATACCAAATCAGAAATACTAACAACATTTTTTCAGATTCAGATACATCAGAAATGCCAACAGGAATTTTCAAAATTTATCTTTGTTTTCTCACTGAAATTTTTTTGTTTTATTTTTTGGGTCCGGTCATGGGGCCTGAACTCTGGGCCTGGGTGCTGTCCCTCAGCTCTTCAGCTCAAGGCTAGCACTCTACCACTTGAGCCACAGCACTACTTCCAGCTTTTTTCTTTTTGTTTATGTGGTGCTGAGGAATCAAACCCAGGGCCTCGTGCATGCAAGGCAAGCGCTCTACCACTGAGCCACCTTCCCAGCCCCGAGAATTACTTTTTGTATTCCGTAATTCTGATTGATTGAATGTTTTGCCATAATAATCAACTCTATTCTTTAATAATCATCTTCTGCAAAATCTTGAGTCCTCCATCCTAACTGATCAGCTGATTTTTGTATCTGGATTACCTCTTTATCTTTTCATTTAAGCAACTTGCCATAAACTATACATATCCGTAATCTTGTGCAGACCTGTGGCATGTATCATTTATTTAGACATGAGTGGGCTTGGGTGTTACTCAAGCAGTAGAGGACCTGCCTAGTAAGCATATGTCCTGAGTTCAAACCTCAGGACACTGCCCCTCCACCCCCCAAAAAAACCCAACTCAGTCATGAAGTTTTTTTTCTTTCCTGAACATGACTTGGTATGGCTTTAGGATGTGTAATGTACTTAAAATGTCACCTTGTTTTCAGTAATTGTGTAAATGTCATTTTTCTTGTTTTGAGTGATTAAACACACTTTTGTAAAAACTGGTGAAGAACCTTGAAGCTATATGTAAGCTTATACCCAAATTCTGTTTTTCTTCATGAAAAATGGTGATGAAGGTTTCTTCCTAGTTAATTGTAGTTATCTAGTAAAAAGTTTTGAGGAAGAGGCATTCCCTCCAAGGGAACATGGGCTGATCTCCATGAGGCACATAAAACAAGCCTAGTGCAATTATCCAACATTATTAGGTAATTTATGCACTACTAAACATTAATTGTAATCAGTCTTCACATTATTTCTCTCAATTTCCAAATGAGGAACATGAGCCACTTGGATCTTTTCGGTGAGCTGAATTGTATTCACCTATATCCCCAAGTCAGCACAGGTTGTTTGAAATTAAATGCTAGTCTAGCTTTCTTCCCACAAGTCTTAGTTCTACAGAAATTCCCTCAAATTTGAAAACCAACCAAAAGTCAGTATGCTGTGAGCATAGCAGGCCTATGAACTTCACATTTTGTCTGATGCTAAAAGTGAAATAGGTCCTTTAAGCTTTCTATCATAGCACTTCACACCCATGCTGACCAGGAGACCCACAGAAATGGAAGTGCTATAATTAAGAAGGATGCATTCCAGAACAGGCCAATTTCTTAGTTAAGAAATTGCCTTAACTAGTCACCAGAGGCTCATGCCTAAAATCCTAGCCACTCATGAGGCCAAAATATGAGGAGCGTGATTTGAAGCCAGCCCAGGCAGGAAAATTCATGAGATTCAAATGAAGTTTCCTGAAGGAAGCCTTTGCTACTTTTCCCAAGGAATCTCATACATTTTACACATATCTCAGATACCTTCCTGATTGTCAGAATTGTTCACAATATTCATGGAAAAAGTAAATTGCCAGAGGATAAGCAAATGTGATACTCTGTACACCCTATTGTATTCTCTTAACAGCTTGCTATACCTTGCTGTATCTTGAATATATACTTACAAAAGAAAAGTTTTGGAATCAAAAGTGCAGATTTAAGTTCTTAGCTGAGTCAAATAACAAATGCTTAAGCATCAGTAAAGCAGAGTAAGGACCCAATACAAACAAAAAACGTTCTAGAGAGAAACCCCTAGTCACTTTGTTGACCTTCAATACATTTTGCCTTCCTCTCCTAAGGTTTCCATCATTTTATTTCCCAACAGCATCTGTTGCCACTAGAGGACGCCATCCAAACAGAAAGGTGCAGTTCCACAGATTCAGCCAGCCACAGGCTTTATTCGTAAGTATGATGTGTGAACAATGAAGACTATTTTACATTTGGTGAGTATGGTACCATGTCTATAAAGGTGGACTAGGGAAACAGCCAGATATGATTCCTGAAGAACAAAAGTGTTTTCAATCAGACAAGTTGTATGACCAGCAATCACTCTGGGCAAATTTATTTCCCTAATTATTCCTATTAGAATATGTATGTGGCCTGATGGATGCACTCCATCTCCTACACCCCCAACTGCTCCTATGTGGCAGTTGCACTGTAAGGAATACAAGTGAGACAACCAGACAAATGCTGAAAACAATGCAAAAAATCCACAAGTATTTCTTAGGTTGATTAAAATATCTGCCTTAAAGACAGTCTTTTCAAAAAGAAAAACTGAGTATCCATATGAAAAAGCATGTCTTTATATCATATATAAAAATTAAGGACAGGATATAGCAAGCATAAGACTCTTGAGTACAAACCTCAATAACAACCCCAACCAAAAAAAAAAAAGTATTGAGACCTAATCATTTAAAATTACAAAACTCTTAGAGAAAAGCTTCATGATAACTGGATTTGGTAATGATTCTTAGATATTCCACCAAAAGTAAAAGCAACAAAGTGTAAGATAAACCTGGACTGCATAAAAATTTAAAACTTCTAGAAGTGGCACTGTGGCTCAAGTGGCAGAACACTAGCCTTGAGAACAGAGGCTCAGGGACAGCATCCAGATCCTGAGTTCAAACCCTGGGACCATCAAAAAAAATTAAAATTTTTGCATATCAGAAGATCTGTCAGCAGTGAAAAGAGCAACCTATAGAGTGGGTAAACATATATGGAAGTAACTTATCAATGAGATGTAAATCCAAAATATATAAAGAATTGCTAAGCAAGTTACAAAAACAGCCAATCACAATGGGAAAAAAGGACCCTGGTGGGGTGGGACAAATCTGTACTACTAGCTACTTGGGAGGCAGAGATAGGGAGTATCAGCGTTTCAAGGCCAGTCTGGCTGAAAAGGTACAAAACTGCACAGTACACACACTTGTTACCCAACTACAGAGGAGCACAATAGGCGGCGGGTACAGTGTCGTGCATCTCCAGTGTCATAGTAAGGCACAAATAGAAGGATCACAACTCTGACCAGACTCAGCATAAAGTAAGATCCTTACCTCAAAGCCAACCCCAAAAGGGGCTGGAGGTGTGGTTCAAGATAAAAAAAATGTCTGCCTTGCAAACAAGAGGGCCTGAGTTTAATTCACAATTGAATAAAAGGGGGGAGGGGCCTTGGGTTTTTCTGCAAAGAATATTGATGAATGGCCAACAAGCACATGAAAAGATACTCAACTTCACTAATCATTAGGGAAATAAAACCACAAGGGTATGATCACCTCACACTCATAAAGGCAGCTATAATCTAAAGAGAATAACGTGAAACAAAAATGTGCAGCAATCAGAATTCTTGGGCACTGTTGATAAGAATATTAAATTTCACACCCATAATAGAGTATGGTATTTCCCTAAAACAATTAAAAATAGTAATTCTATATACCCAGAAGTTCCAATTCTGGGTATATGCCTAAAAAAGCTGAAAGCATGATCTTGAGAAAATAGTAAAAACCCATGTTCATAGAATCAGGATTCACAATAGCTAAGAAGTAAGATAACTCCTGTGTTTACCAATAGGCAAAATGTGGTAACACGCACAATACAATATTCAGGCCTGGAAAAAATTCTGACATATGCTACAAAGAGGAACCTGGAGGACATACATTATACTACTTGAAATAAAGCGGTCACAGAAAGTCAAGTAATGTGTAATTCCACTTATAAAGAATGGGGATTACCAGGGACTGAGCAAAGTGGGAAATGATGCAAATAGTTGCAAAACATGTGGACATACACTTAACACTGTATGGAAATGTACACTTAGAAATGGTAAAGATAGTATTTTTTTCTGTATTTTACAAGTTTTTAGTGCTTTAGTGTGCTCCTCCCTCCAACATGCCTTCATGTGCCTCCACCTGAGTGGACATGTACCAATATAGCTGTCCTTGAGCGTGTTTTGTCTTTGGCTTATTACCTAGTAAAGCTAGACTAAGAAATCTAACAACTAGCTTAAAATATCATGAAGGCAGAAAGGCTAGCCTTTTTTAAATTATTTTATTATTTTTTGTTTAGTACTGAAGAATTGAACCCAGGGCTTCATACATGCTAGGCTAAGCACTCTACCACTAAGCCACACTTCCAGCCCCCTATCTGTCTTTTAAATGTCAAAGACACTGATAGTCATGGATTGTTTCTGTATGGTATTAGGATGGAAAACAGGATTCTCCCTGTTACTGGGCCTGAACCAACCAACTGGATGCCATTCTTGTGTGTGAGTAGATCTCCAACTCTCAATTAGTCTCCATGCATTTAGGAAGGCATTTCAACATGCTTTCAAGAAAAAGTATTTATTTGACATCATTACAAAAATATGTAGGCACATAATTTTCACGTTTATGTCATCTTCTTTACATACCTCAATCCTCAGTACCTTTTAAAATTGGTAAATAGAATCTATGTTGAAAAAATATCATGAGAGGACATTTGTAGACCAAAATTGCCCAAACCATTTAAAATAATCTCTAAAAAACATTTTTGTGAGACAGTAAATCTAACCAGTAGATTTCTTTTAAAAAGGTATTTTCAAAATAAAGCTTAAAAAAAAAAAAACAGTGCAAGAGTATCTCCTCATACCAGAGTAGCACCCTAACAGCACTAGAAGCCAGACTTAGAAAACAAAGATGGTGCCAGAAACTGAGATCCTAATGTGACTAGCTAGAAGGCAAAGGCAGCAAGCAGAATTCTGTATAAATAGGAGCCATCCAAGATGACAGTGAAAACATTTTTTAAGGTGAATTGCCATTATGAAATACAATTGAGACAGGAAGTCTTCCTTCTTTGCAATACACACCAGCATTATGAAGTAATATTGTTCTTTTTACCAAATGAGTAGAACTGCCTGCATCACACAATGGTGCCCATTACAATCAGGTTTTATAGAAAGAAAACCAAGTGGAGAATACTGCCTGCCAAGCACTCTAGGAGCAATGGGGTACAGGGCCAGGCTTTTCAGGAAATACATTGAGAATCTTGTAACAACCACAGTAGCTTTGTTTACCAAGTATCTGCTTTGTACTAAGCACCATGCTAATTACTTGTACAGTCACAGTCTCCTTCATCCTGAATACTTTCCTTTCGCAAAGGAGAAGTTGGTTATGGTCAATCTCAGGTGAACAGTACTGCATAGTTATGGAAAATAATGTTGTAGGGGAGGAAGATCAGAGGCTAGTCAGTGTTCTGCTTATCTTAGCTGGAGAACTAACAATATGTAAAATAAAGTCATCTGCGATTGAGCACTGCTTTCTTCTGGGGTAGTGTACTCTAGACTGGATGGCCCTGAATACTGTTCACTGAATTTCTGTTCACAAATCACTGGCTTCTTTGCCCGAGTGTCGAATATACTCCTTGAGCAAGAACTGCATCCCAAAATGCTTGCATACAACAGGGACTCCTGAAGTCCTCATTCAATGACAAGGTTACAATCAGGAAAGCAAAGGCAGGACTTTGAGTCCAAGGTCCTCTTCCAATCTAAAAGAAGAAACACTGCCTATGAAGAATCTGCCTCAGTCCCACTGACCAAACCTCCGGTGGATTCCTCATCCCGAGGACTACAGGCAACTTGCAAACCCATCTTTTTAAATACCTACTTGCAAGTTATACTTACAAATATTAAATTTCTCCAGCAGAAAAAGAAATCAAAATATTCCTGGGTCACCTGTTGAGAAACCAAAATTGTTTGGGTCCACATAGCCCAATGGCTTCCAAACCCAACAAAACAAGCTAGTGTGTGTATTAGTGCAAAGGTAGCCAGCTCCAGCAGAGATGCAACAACTAGCCTGCACAAACAACGCTCACTCCAAAGCCTTGCAGGTCTTAGTCCTAAATGTTGCCTGAATGGATGAAGAGAACCAAGTTTTCATCCTCCCTTCAATCCCTGAAGCACAAGTGAGATTTTCAGCCATCTCCCTAAAAACAACAGTATTCCTAGCACTCAGCACTGACACCCCACAAGCCTCAGGTGAATGAACATATCCAATGAATAAATGAGTAAAAGGCCATCCGTCCCTTCATTATCCTGCCTATATCACAGAGGAGAGAATGCTCTCTGCTCATCCCCAAGTTCTCAGGAAAGCAATGCTCTTAAAAACCCATGGACTATGTGTGTCCATGTGCATGAGAGTGCTCATGTGTATGTGTGTGTGTGTGTGTGTGTGTGTGTGTGTCCATGTGCATGAGAGTGCTCATGTGTATATGTGTGTGTGTGTGTGTGTGTATCCATGTGCATGAGAGTGCTCATCCCCAAGTTCTCAGGAAAGCAATGCTCTTAAAAACCTCATGGACTGTGTGTGTGTGTGTGTCCATGTGCATGAGTGTGCCAAAATGGATGTGTGTGTGTGTGTGTGTCCATGTGCATGAGTGTGCCAAAATGGATTTTGTCTTTGGCAAATGCAGTGATGACTTTACGAAGAGAAAAGAGAAATGTCAGCTGCTCAGCTGCATTTGGAGAAGGGGCTAAACTGTCTTCAGGCACAGTGGCAAGGAGGAGAAGGCTCCAGTTAGAAGACATTATCTATGCAGCTCTTAGGGACACCTCGTTATCAAACTACTGAAGAAAGTATCTTCAAAACACTTGATGTTACACTGTCAGAACAGAACACAAATAAATTAAAAGGCCCAGTACATTTTCTAGTCTGGTATAAATTAATTCCAACAAAAAATACTTAAAATAGAGTCAGTTTCTCTGATAAAATTTTAAAAGGCAGCAATCAATCCTCGGATTGTACAAGTGCAAAGGAACAGTCTCTCCCGTGAAATCATGACATCTCATTATCTGCGTGGGAAGTGCCAGTGTTCTGAGCCATGGGAAGCTGGGGTAGGTCCTGGAGCAGCCCTGTTCATACTGCTCCTTTTCCCTTAACGTCCAGCTTGTTACTGGCCTCTGACTGTTTGCTCAGCTGCTCTTCAGTGAATGTGATGTAAGAATACACCAGGCTGCCAGCAATGCTGCAAAACAAAACCACCAGAAGGGAGGAGACATGAGTGTTTTATAATGCAACAGCGAAAAGCTAGATAAAACACATTCCATCAAGGGAATTTGTATCAATTCACCTAATGGAGTACCATGCATCCATTAAAATGAAAATAGGCAATGGCTTCTTTAACAAGAAAAGATTCCATCAAACATTAAACATTGTCTAATCCTACTTTTTAAGTGAACATGAATATTTACACAACAGAAAAGTCTGGAAGGAACAGACAGTGACTTCTTTCTAGCTAGAATCAGGTTCTCAGCGAAGAACTTTCACCTAAGCTTCTTATCCTATGGTAGCAGGTCATAGGATATGACCAGTAGCTATTGCCATATTCTATGCTTGATGGACAGTGATTTCTCTGTGGACTCTGATTAACTGAACACACCAGGTTTTCAAACCTCCTGCCCATCACTGAACTAAAGGTGAGCCAGAGGAGCTCAGGTGCCCAACTCCCCTGCCTACAAGAATGCTGCACTCTGCTCAGCACCCAGATGCCACCCCAGGATCCCTTGGGTCTCTGGCCAGCTGAGAGTGTGGACTGAGAGGCTCTGCTGTAAGGTTTCCCTGCCCTGAACTTGGCTCCCATCTTCTACCCGACCACAAGGCTCATAAACCCGTTGCTTATTTCCAACACATGCTGCTTTCCTTTGGGCTGTGATATTCCAGCCCCAGGCCAGCTGGAGCACCCACTGAAGCGAGTCTGAATGATGGTGAGACATAATCTTCCCCTGCTCACCACAGGTCCTGACACTGGCTCTTTATTGCACCTGTTTCCTCAACACTGCCCCCACTCAGAAACCTCAGTGTCCTACACACAAAGTTTAGCTTTGTGGTCTAATGCACAGGCTCCTGTAGCACTTTGTAGGGACACAGTAACTGCTGAAGTAGGTATCCAATGGACTCCACTCAAAAACACGCTTCACAGAGCCACCCTTGAGCATGCCAGTGTACACAGAGCTGCATCTTTTCCTTCACCTGATAGCTTCTTGTTTTGCTTAGGTTTTAACCTGATTTTCCCCAAAACAGTTGCTCTCTACTGCATCCCATAGATGACTTGCCCAATACCTGGGCTGGGACAACCAGAGGTTCATAGAAGCCTTCAGGATTAAAGCTAAAAATTCTTTAAGGGCCATGTATATAGTCAGCCATATGACAGTTTCCCTTTGCTTCCAAACTCAAAGTAAGCCCGACACTGACCAGAGGTCTCTGTTAGAGCCAGAGAGATGTGTTATTGATTCTTTTTTGTTTTGTTTTGTTTTTTTGTCGGTCATGGGGCCTGAACTTTGGGCCTAAGTGCTGTCCCTCAGCTCTTCAGCTCAAGGCTAGCTTTCTACCACTTGAGCACAGTGCCCCTTTTCCTGCGTATGTGGTGCTGAGGAATCAAACCCAGGGCCTCATGCATGCAAGCACTCTACCACTGAGCCACCTTCCCAGCCCCAGATGTGTTATAAATGAAAAGAAAGGTCATATAAGAACAAGTGTCTTAATCTGCTCAAACTGCTATGAAAACAAAATAATCATAAACTGTGGGTCAGGCATTGTGACTCATGCCTGTAATCCACTTGATTATAGTCCACTAGAGAGTCAAAGATAGGAGGAAGTCTCAATCCAGCCTGGGGGGGTGGGGGGAAGAGATAGATAGCCAATCTCAAAGGACTAGTAGTTCAGGCCTGTAATCTCAGCTTGCTACCTAGGTAAAGACTGTTATCTGGGGCCAATCCCAGAGCAAAAAGCATGAAATCCTATCTGAAAAAAATACTAAAGCAAAAAAGAATGGGGGTACAACTCAACTGGTAAAGTGCTTGCCTAACAAGCACAAGGCCCAAGCCAAAACTAGTACAGAAAGAAAAACAAACTCCATACAGGAGAGCACCACCTCAACGATCTAAATACCCTCCATAGCCTTACCCCCCACACCATCTCCTAGAGGGCCAGAACTTACACAGAATTTAGGAGAAACACAAACTGTCCTCCAAAAGGAAACATGAGGCTAGGGGAGGAACACTGTTGTCAATAACTGAGACAGCATGTTCAAATTTTATAAATTCCATCTTGATATAACAAAAGATGGTTACCATTGTTCACAGAAATAGGATTCCATAAGCACATGGGACATTCATCCATAAGCATCCTTATTATGTGTGTAGTGTGACAATTATGCTTTGTAAAGGAATCATTAATTGCTCTCAGCAGCTTTGGAGGTACAGAAAGTTGGACAGTGCTGCATCTGAATACCAAATGATTTGAAACCAGGATCTTCTACTACTTCCAATAATGTACCTTTCAGTACTAAGGAATGGTGTTTCTGTGCTAGACCTTACTAAATACTAAAAAAGAAAAGAAAAGAGAAAAAAAGCCAGGTACCAGTGCTTCACACCTATAATCCTTGCTACTCAGGAGGCTGAGATCTGAAGATTGCAGTTCAAAGCCAGCCTGGGCAGAAAAGTCTAGGAGACTGTTATCTCCCATAAACTACTCAGAAAAAGCCAGAACTAGCACTGTGGCTCAAGTGGTAAAGCACTAGCCTTGGGCACAAAGAACCAGAAAAAGAAAGGGGTGGAGGGGAGGAGGGAAGGAAGGGAGGAAAGAAGGGAAGAAGGGAGGGAGGAAGGGAAAGAAGGAGAGGAGGGGAGGGAGGGAGGGAGGGCAAAAGAAAAAACACCTGAAGTAGAACTGATCCACAAGGTTTCTTTTAAAAAGTTAAACATGAGTATTAAAAAATAAAGCACCAGTGGCTCACACCTATAATCCTAGGCTAGTCAGGAAGCTGACATCTGAAGATCATTCTAAGCCAGCCCAGACAGGAAAGTCCATCAGACTCTTATCTCCAATTAACCACCCCCTCAGTCTCCCAAAACCAGATGTGGAACTGGTTCAAATGGTAGAGCACCAGCTTTGAGTAAAAAAGCTAAGGGACTGCACCTAGGCCCGTGTTTAAACCCTAGTCCAGGAACATGCATACATATATGCACACACACACACATACACACACACACAGAGGAAAATAATTACACAAGCCTTAGAAAAAAGCAAATCTCCACTTTCCCAACAGTAAACAGGCCAGTAAGTATGCTGGGAATGTGTGTGAACAGAGACAGTCAGTGATAAGGTGGATTCATTTACACAAACTGCCCAGGGAACTTCAGAACAGGAGGAGAGAGAAAATCCAACCCTTGCTGCTCAAAATCAGGAGTAAAAAGAAAAAACAACAATAAACTATAAGTACAAATTAGGGTATCAAACAAGTTTGCTGTCAGGAAAAGAAACCTCTTCCAAGGAGAAAAAGAAAAAGAAAAAAGAATCAAAACACCACGACAGGACCAATATATTCACTCAGAGACCACCCTGGCAGTGACCGCTGCATGGGAGATGAGCAGAAGCGGGAGCTGTACCCTGTGCAGACAAGGCTCTGCTCAGAACAGTGCCAGTCTCACTGTGAAGTGCTGAGCCTGCCTCTCCCTTCTGAACCTGCTGCATCTGCTCAGCAGCTACCGCGGAGCTCCAATCTGCTTCTGTCCTGTCTCCACACACTGTCATGAACCTGACTCAGCAGCCCCCAACAATGGCATGCGTGGCCTGTAAAATGCTTTCACTGTAGTAAGTCCAGGCTGTCTCCATCTCCTCTCACCACCAACGTGTATCTAGGCAGGTGACTGCCTTCTATAAATAAAATCATGCCCATCCACATTCAAACCTATGAACCAAGAATCTGATTCTTCTTAACATGCTTCATCCCAGCCAATAATTAACACTGGGTTTCTAGTCGTCTTTTCACAGTGACAGGGACCCCGCCTGAACTCCCACAGTCACTGCCAGGAGCCTTTCCCAGCCTCCTTCTGTCTCTAAACAGGGGATACGTGACACAGGATGGGACACAGAACCAGGCTGTGGACTTTGCTTTGTGACCCCAGAGAGCCTCAGCCCTGGCCTGGAAAGAAAGATGATGGAGCCACCCTTAGAAGGGATCACAGGTTGCACACTGCCCATCTTCCTGAGTCCCATCCATCGCCTGTAATTCCAGCTCCAGGTTTTGGTTCAGACATAATTTAACAGTGGATATAGCCACCCTCTCTTTCCTCCTCTCCAAATCCTACCACCTGATCAGGTTTCCTTCTTCATAGTCTTGGTACCATTTATTTCTAGCACAGCTAGAAAGAATGTTTAGTCATAAGAAGTGCTGTTCATGCCACATTAAGTGCCTAATGTTACCATAAATGTAATCTCTACATTCGTCTACATCTAATCTCCACATCTCTACATCCACCATCTCTATATAAACTGTACCCTTCTAAGTAAGTGGCCCTCCTTGCCACCATAATTTTCCCTACTATGTTTTATTTCTCATCCATGTTGTTGTTGTTTTTGAGACAGGGTCTCTCTCTATAGCCCTGGTTGGCCACTTAGATCCTCTTGCCTGTCTCCCAATGGCTGGGATTACAGGCATGTGTTAACATACTTAGCTTATTTACTTCCTTTACTATATATCTCAAACTAACAGAACAAATATTTCACTCATTTTTATCTCTATTTTTTTCCCCTACAACTCTACCAGGACAAGGATTTTGGTTAGTTTGTACAGGGACTCTATTCCCTACTACTGAAAGAATGTCATAGATACCTACTTATGCACTGATAAAGGAATCTTTCTGGCTAGATTATGAACTCCTGAAGATAAAATTCCCCTATGGTTTTGCCATGCACTGAGCAGTCACTCTAAAATATGTACCAAATGGGTCTAACCACAAGTTGAAGACAGGAGATAAAGACAAACCAGTCATGAGGAGGGAGGTGAGAAGGAGACTTGAGAACCTTGCAAAACGGAGCAGAGCCATCTTCATCTTTAATCTCATGTCCCCTTTCAGAGCAGAATACTCAGCAAGAGGACTCAGGTCTGATCAGGGCTAGAATCTTAACTCTGCTTCTGACGACAGTAGCTTTGGGACCTGGGGGAATTTATTCTGCATCCCTCTT